CAAGGGGAAAAAGGATGAGATGAGGAGTCAGCAGTCTGTTCAATTGAGCAGTCTGAAATGACTGGATAGCCACATACAAAAGAATGAAATAAGACGTTGACGTTATACAATACACAAACACAAACTCGAAATACATTAAACCCTGAACACAAGACCTAAAAGCATAAAACTGCTACAGGAAAACATAGAGTGAGCTTAAGTTGAGGAAAACCTGAATCTAAGCTCACAGGATATAAAAGCAAACAACAGACAAAAGAGAAAAATAGAAAAAAAACCACTTCCAACAACAGAAGTCAAAAACTCTAGTTTTTGTTATTGACTTTACCTTACAAAAAGAATCACTGCTACTCAGGCACGGTGGCTCACACCTGTAAACTCAGGACTTTGGGAGGCTGAGGTGGGTGCACAGGAGTCGCCTGGGGGCCTTGCTAAATAAAAATGCAGCTTCTGATTCAACAGCCTCAAACGGAACCAGAGATTCTGCCTGTCTTGATGAGCTCCCGAGTGAGGCAGACAATTCCAGTCCACAGACTCACACTTTGAGATAGGGCACCGGGGCCATTGTGTTCAAATTTGCTTGGTAACCTGGAGCCCTTATTAAATATCCAAGTTGCCAGGACTTTCTTCTGGAAATCTTGATTCAGTATGTTTTGTTTGAAGCCTTGGACGTTTGGGAAAACTAGAATTTCTTTCTCTCTCTTTAGACAGAAGTCAACTACTATTGAGGCATGGGCTTAATAAATGTTAACTAAAATATCCAACTCAACAACCAATCCTGTATAATTTTCCAACTGTATCAGTAACTTGCCAGGTCTGAACTGACCCTGGCTGTGCAATAGATGAAGAAATGCACTCAGACACAGGTATCCCATGAAAGAGCAGGCTAGGGGACCTGGCAGCTCCCAGACACCGAGGATGGTCATGGCCCTGACAGGCTGGGGCTCCAGCCATGGCCCTGACAGGCTGGGGCTCCAGGCTTTTATTAAGTACGGATTTAATGACAAAGGTCTCAAGTAAACACCACTAGAGGGTAATTAACATTGCTGACCTCCCGAATAGAGAGCAGTCATGTGCCTGCAGATGATCAAAGGTGGGTCTTAGGACCACATGAGTAAACAAGCTATTTAGATAAACTCCTCTACATTCCTATGCATCTACGCCTTAAGCTTTTAAGAGAGTTCAGCTGCCTTCAGTCAAATCATTTACTGAAGCTTTGCAAACCTCCCAGTCTTCCAAGAAGTTTTGTGTCTATTTCCTACAACTTAATTTTTATAATTTCTCCCACCACCCTGACAGATCCCCTACAAAAGACCATGTTTCTTCTCAGCTTGCTCAGTCCAGCTGAGCCAGCTTTCCACTGGACTCCTGAATGTGAGAAGGACACAGGCTCCCAGGACCATCCACAAGCATCTCTCATCACCATAAAGCTCTGAAACACTGGCTGGGTGCAGAGGCTCATGCCTGTAATCCCAACACATTCAGAGGCTGAGGTGGGAGGATCGCGTGAGGCCAGGAATTCAAGACCAGCTGAGGTAGCATAGCAAGACCCCATCTCTACAAAAAGTACACCCCAAAATTAGCTGGGTGTGGTAGCACATGCCTGTGGTCTCAATTAATTGGGAGGCTGAGGCAGGACTATCCCTTGAGCCCAGGAGTTTGATGCTGCAGTGAGCTATGATTGCACCACCGCACTCCAGCCTGGCAGACAGATTGAGACCGTCTCTGAAACAACAGGCCGGGTGCAGTGGCTCATGCCTGTATTCCCGGCAATTTGGAATGCCAAGGCAGGTGGATCACCTGAGGTCAGGAGTTTGAGACCAGCCTGGGCAACCTGGTGAAACCCTGTCTCTACTAAAAATATAAAAAATTAGCAGGGCATGGTGGCAGGCACCTAGAATGCCAGCTACTCTGGAGGCTAAGGCAGGAGAATTGCTTGCATCCAGGAGGAGGAGATTGCAGTGAGCTGAGATCACACCACTGCACTCCAGTCTGGGCAACAAGAGCAAAACTTCATCTCAAAAAAATAAAAAATATAGAAAATAAAATGAAACAACCACAATAAAAATGAGTCAGAAAACTGAAATATTTTAAGTTTCATTTTATTATTGCTTGTTAGTTGTTTAAAGTAATTCTACTTCCACTTACTTTATTTTTAAAGACACTAATTTCTATACGGAATAAAACCTTAATGAAGTTTCATTATAAGTATCTATTATCATTTGATTATTTTCTACATAGAAGCATGCAAAAAGTTTAAAATTCAGTTTCATTTGATTTAGCCTTGACTGTAATGAAGGACTCTATGAAGAGGGGACACAGTGTCTGTGGGCTGAGTCCCAGCAACTGCTTGGTGGCAGAGTCCCAGTCTTTCCCCAGTTCAAGCCATGGGCAGATAGATGGGTACTGTCCTTCAGTTCTTCTTATCCATTCACTTGCTTTCTTTATTGCCTCAAAAGCTGAGGGAATATTCCTAGATTAAAAAAAGAAAAAGTTTCAGATTTCAGAATATAACAACACGTGAAATGTGATACTAAACCCATCACATGATATCAGACAAAATGATTCTGCCAAAAATTAAGATATTCAATAAAAGCAGTTTTCCTTGACATCTTACGGAAGTTCTTCTACCCACCTGACCTGGAGCGTATGCACTGCATTGTCAAGTGTCCCGTGCCCACCACTTCCCGGCTTCCACGTGCCTCCAGGCATCCCTGCTGCCTACAGGACAGCTCAAGTTCCAGCCTCTCTAAAGTTGTTTATGGTTGTCCCCTTTCCATGCTTCTCAATCTAAATCCTATCCATTCTTCATGCACAAACTCAAGTACTATTTCACAAATGAGGCTTCTGTTTCTCTCTCCTTCCCACTGCACCAACTTGATTAGGTACCTTCAGAATATCTGAGAGTCCCCCATGAAACTGGCATCTATTCAGCTGTGTCATGTAAATCAGGAACAACTTGCTAGAATAAGCGTATCGAGTCACGTCTGTGTCCACTAAATGGTGTCAAATATTTGAGACTGTTGAATATACAAGTCTATTCAACACTCAGAAAAATTCTGAGATTGTTCATTAATATTAATTAGTTACTTCCTCATTTGTTCTGTCATCTGCTAGAACTTGTTAGTGAACAAGTGGCAACATACATCAAAGTTTTTCAGAAAATTCTATAGGGGAAATTTAATATTTTGAAAATTCTCTCCCTGTTCCTGATGTTTCCCTGTGAACTGGGAAAGGGCCGTCAGTATAGTGTGGTGGTTAAGAGTTGGGTTGGAGTTCTGACTCTGCAATCACATGATATTGGCCATGTGATACTGCGTGGCTTTCATTTAACACTGGGAATCTCAGTTTCCTCAATTACGAGAATAACATGAGGTCCTATGGGTTTGTGGTGGAAATAAAGCTTATAAACTTAACATGCTTACTAGTCCCTGGTACACAGTAGGCACTCAATAAATGTTCGCTGAATGTCATAATAGAATGAACATACTAAATCAGAAGCATGCCCAAAGTGGTTAAAAGACCAGTGTTTCCTGGTAAATGTTTATCTACTGATAGTTACTAACTGCTGAAAACAACGAAACTGGCTTTGAATATTTTCACTAATTCAGCTGGCCTCCTTCAGTCCAGTGGCCTCTACACTTTTTGGTTCACAATTCCACTAGTAAGAAAGTCTTGTGCCTACACCCCCATGTAATGTGCTCCTACATCAATGTTACGTATATCTTGAACTAGAAAATACAGAAAAAAGTTTCAAATATGCAATAAACAGGAAATAAAAAATATTTAAATTTTTTTTTTTTTTTTTTTT